ACTGGAATTCAATGCAGGCTGACTTTGTGTGACAGAGAAAGCTACATACATATAAAAGAGTGCCAAATCCTACCTTATTTAGTTCTAAAACCCAATTCAACTTTGGTACATTGGGTGACAGGCTTGAGAAATAGCAATGGGGTCTGTCATCAGGTAGTAATTGACATGACCTGCTAGCGACTTCTAAAAAAAATTTCAGAGTTGGTCCTAAATGAGTGGAGAGAGATGAGCCTTTGCAACAACAATTGCTCCAAAATACACACACACACACCAGAAATTATTATTTGCTGTTTGGAAAACTTTGGAAGAGGGATTGAAAAGAGAAGAAAGCTTGGCTTAACAATAAAAAAAGAAGTGGTTCATTCCAGGCGAGAAGACTGGAATGTGAAGCAATGGAGTCTCCCGTGTGATGGAAGAGCAAAAGCACTACTTTAAAAAGGAAATGACTTTTACATCTTCTAATAACTCCCTTTTTTTCTCTCCCTTTTGTTGTAGTCTCACTGAATTCCACTGACACTATACAAAATGCATTTCTCAATAGACTGCTTCTCCAAAACCATAAACGTACTGTGCAAGAGCTTCCTATTATTTAACACAATTCAAATAACTGTCAAAATAAATTGTAAGTTGCTTCTCCAGTCAGAAGAGTCCCTTTAGACTGTGAAAGAAATGGTAATTAAAGAGAATCCCCACTGGATGCCATTGATCTTTCACTCAGGATTGCGGTCTTTCTGTAGGAAATCAGAACCGACATCATAAGTTAACACTTGCATATGAAGTGTCAGCATGCTATGAGCATTTAATTTCAAATGCTAATTGCAAAAAAATTAGACAGTAATTTTTTTAAAGCATTAGTACTTACTAATTTGTACTTACTTTGCTATAAATTGTTTAGTAATATATATAATATATATCATTATATATAATATAATATCGTATATAATATAATAATATAAATATAAATATAAATGAGAATACTGTATAGGTTCAAATGTACTACTTTCTTATGTATAGTCGTATATATAAATTATAGGCATGCTACAAGCTTTTGTTTATTTTTTATGCTTTTCTGTGGTTTGGGGGGTGCTCCTGATGTTGTTTTTATGGGTTCATATCATAAGCTAGAAATTGGACATGTTGCCATGGAAATCACTTTCTGTAGAAGAGTTTACAGTGTAAACCAACAGTTATGGTGATAAAACATACTCTGGCAGCCCAGGGGTAGATTTCTGTTGTACGCTGGTGGCGGTGTTTATTGGATTTATGGGATTTTGTTTTTGTTTATCAGTTTTGTTTCTTTGCTTTTGGACACTAGAAAGGTTTGATCTAATTTCAGTCCCACTGGCATTTTTAGACACGCCTCATGCCTTCATCTGCTACATTAAATGACTTGAACTGTTATTTTGCAGTTGAGATTTAAAAAAATCTATTTGAAGACTACAATAATCAATTCATTCATCCAAAAAAAATCTACTTTGCACCTACCACATTCCAGGTACTGTTCCAGGCACTCGGGACACACCACTGAGCTGAAAAAGGCCCCTGAGCTCATGAGCTTATAGTCTACATACAACCTAATAAATAAAAAGTAAATGGTAAGGTACTATGTAAAAAGGTGATTAGTGCTATGGAAAAAGAATAAAATGGAGCATAGAAAGAGGGAACAAGAGTCGAGGTGGGGTTGCAATCTTATATACAACGGTAAAGGAGGCCTCATTGAGATGACCTTTGAGGAAAGACTTAACGGGGTTGAGGAGGTTAGCTGTGTGGATATCTGGGAAGAGATCATTCCCAAGAGAGGGAGACAGCCAGTGCAAGTGACATCATGTGGAGTTACATTCATGAGTTCAAGGAATAGAAAGAAGCCAGTGTGCCTATAAAGGAGCGAGCAAGGGAAGAGTAGTAGGAAAAAAGGTCAAAAGATAACAGGGGGATTTGTAAGCCTCTACAAGTACTTTGGATTTTATTCTAAGTAGGATGGAAAACCATTGGAAGATTTTGAAGTAAGGAGCAACATAATCTACCTTAAATTGTAATGGGTTCACTCTAGCATCCCTGTTAGGACTAGACCGTAGAGTTAGGCCAAGGCTAAAAGGAAGAGTGGATAGGCAGTATTGCAGTTATCCAGGTGGGAGAACATGGTGGCACAGACCAGAAAATCAGCTGTGAAGATGATGAGAAGCAGTGGGATAATACATACATTTTAAAGGTAATACCACAGGATTTGCTAATGAATTGGATGTGAGGGAGAGAGGAGGAGTCAGAGACGGCTCTGAGGGTTCCGGCATAAGCAACCAAAAGGATGGAGACATCACCGCTTGTAAAACACATACCAAAGAGGAGGCTTATATGGAGCAAGAATTCTAATTAAAAAGTGGAGATTGGACTTCTGGTTTCCTGTCTGACATGTAAGAAGCTTAGAAGTCGTCACTCAATTATAACAGGTAAAAGCTGAACAAACTGAAAAATCAACAAGTCTTCTTAGATCCATCAGAGAAGTGAGGTCACAGGGCAAACTGATGCCCCCAAAATTGGGGAGACAGAAAGACAAACACAGAATCACAACTTACTGGAAAAGAAATTCATGAGCAGAAACCTCCACAGGATGCAGCGCCAGCGTAGGAAAGCCTGACCTGTAATTGACGAATTGCTAGGCACTCAGGGTGGGCAAGTTTGAGAGTTTAAAACTCCCGGGGACCCAGTCATAGGGGTGCTTTTGGGAGTTTTACGTCCAGGAGTTCTACCAGGTCCCCACAGTGGACATCAGAGAAAGACCTCTTCATACTTCCAGCAAGGGAGGAGAAAAGAAACCATTTTAAAATATGCCAGAGCATTCTATTCTTCTTAACAAGGCCTTCCCTCAGGAAAACTTTTATTTTACTAGAGCCTAAAATTTACAGTGCAGGGGCTCAGGCTCACTATGAGACCAAGACCCAATCATAGGACTACAGAATGCTTCCCCTCCTCACCACATCTTACCACTACAGTACTAAAGACCTTTTATCCAGTACATCACGTCCATTTTTCAACTAAAAAATTTACAAGACATACCAAAAGGAAAAAAAAAAACCCCACACTTTGAAGAGATTCAACAGGGATTAGAAACAGAACCAAAAATGGGAAGAATGCTGGAAATATCACACCAGGAATTAAAAAACAAACAAAAAACTGTGATTAGTATGCTAAGGGCTTTAATAGAAAAAGTAGAGAACATGCAAGAAAAGATGGATAATGTAAGCAGAGAGACGGAGTTCTACAAAAGAATCAAAAACAAATACTGGATACCAAAAACACTGTAAGAGAAATGAAGAATGTCTTTGATGGGTTCGTCAGTAGACTTGACACAGCTGAGGAAAGAATCTCTGAGCTTGAGGATATAACAAGAGAAACTTCCAAAACTGAACAGCAAAGAGAAAAAACAGAGAAGAAACAAAAAAAATCCAAGGACTGTGAGTGAGACAACTACAAAAGGTGCAACACATATGTGATAAAAACACTAGAAGAAGAAAGAGAGAAACAGAAGCAATATTTGAAGCAATAATGACTGAGAATTTCTCCTAAATTAATGTCAAAGACTAAACCATAGATCCAGAAAGTTGAGAGGACACCAAGCAGAATAAATGCCAAAAAACCCTACACATTGGCATATCATATTCAAACTTCAGAAATCAAAGATAAAGAAAAAATCTTGAAAGACACCAAAGGAAAAAACAGCTTACCTATAGAGGAGCAAAGATAAGACTTACATCCATCTTCTCGTCAGAAACCATGCAAGCAAAAAAAGAGTAGAGTGAAATATTTACAGTATTAAGAGAAAAAATAATCAGCCTACAATTCTGTACCTTGCGAAGTTATCCTTCAAAAGTGAAGGAGAAATAGAGACTTTCTTGGACAAACAAAAATTGAGGGAATTTGTTTTCAGGAGACCTGCCTTGCAAGAAATATTGAAAAAGGTTCCTCAAAGAGAAGGAAAATGATAAAGGTCTAAATTTCAGATCTGTGTAAAGAAAAGAAGAGCACTGGAGAATGAATAAATAAAGATAAAATAGAAACTTTTTTTTAATCTTAATTGATGTAACAGATAACAGTTCGTTCAAAATAATAAGAGCAACAGTGTATTCAATTATGTATGCTTATGATACATGTATATATACACTAGTATACATGTATATGTACATCTATGCGTAAGTAAAATGAACGAGAGCAATAACGGCAGGAGGGAGGAATTGGGAATATTTTGCTTTTATAAGATACTTGCACTATCCATGAAGTGGTATAGTGTTATTTGAAAGTGGACATGGATTAGTCATAGTTGCATATTGCAAACTCTAGAGCAACCACTAAAAAAAGCTTTAAAAAATATAATCGAGGGGCTGGGCCTGTGGCCGAGTGGTTAAGTTCACACTTTGCTTCGGTGGCCCAGGGTTTCACCGGTTTGGATCCTAGGTACGGACATGGCACCACTCATCAGGCCACACTGAGGCAGCATCCCACACAGCACAACCAGAAGGACCTACAACTAGAATATACAACTATGTACTAGGGGGCTTTGGGGAGAAGAAGGAAAAAAAAAGAGAAAGATTGGCAACAGATGTTAGCTCAGATGCCAATTTAAAAAAATGTACATATATATATATATAATCCATATGTTAAGAAAGGAGAGAAAATGGAATCATATAAGATACTCATTTAAAACCACAAAAGGTAGAAAAAATATAAAAGACAAAAATAGCAATAAAGAACAAGTGCAACAAATGGGCAACAGTAACAAATACGCTAGATTTTAATCCAACTATATCAACAATCACTTTAAACTCCAATTTTAAACACCCACTAAATGACAGAGATTGTCAGAATGGATCAATAAACAAGATCCAACTATATATTGTCTACAAAAAATCCACTTTAAATATAACAGCATATATAGATTAATAGCAAAGGAGACCCAACGATTCTGGGAAGATGGCAGAGTAGGGAGCATCAGGAATCTGTCTCCTCACCTATGTAACAATTGCTCTGGCAGAATCTGTCTGACGTTCCGATTTTGGAACTCTGGTGGCTATTGAAGGCTTGCAACTTCCAGAAGAGGGCTTGGATGGTAAAGGGTGGTTAATCGTGGTTAACTTCAGCTCTTTGCACAGTAGCAGCTAGCCATCCCCCAACCCTCAGCCACATAACAGGCAGCTGTGCATGTGTTCCTGGAGCAGCCTGTTCACAGCTTGTGAGATCCAGGGTGGGCAGAAAGGACCCTATCCTCCAAATACCCACAATCTGTGCACTGATTGCGGATTCTGATGACAGAGATTCAAAGAGGCAGGCAGCCATTGTTGTTGTACCTCCCCGCATTGTTGCAAACCCCTCCCATTGTGGCTGAAGCGACCTCCAGGAGATTTAAAGGGCCAGAGCCCTTCCCCCTTCATTTTTCTTTTTTTCCCCCTTTGGGAGCCAGATATTAAAGACTAGGACATTCAAAAACAACCGCATATATGGGAAAAATTAGAAAGTAACTGCGTATGCCAGGGGAAAGTCTCAGAAAAGACCTGAAAAAATCTTAAGTTTATACTTCAGGCTCATTCTCGGCAGCCACAGACTACAACAATCAAAAATAAAAAGCAATGAACAAAAATAATAAAAAACAACAAACCCTGTGGAAGGGGAAGAATCTGATTTCCAGAGTTACCACACTATTAGATTCAAATGTGCAGTTTTCAAGAAAAAAAATCAGAAAGCATACAAAAAAACAGGAAAGTATGACCCATTCAAAGGAAAAAATAATTCAACAGAAATGGTCCCTCAAAAAGAATTCATGGTGAAACCAAGAACAAAGGAGTTGAAGTTTCCCTGCCTTTGGATGAAACTGTGCCTGTGCCACAAGCTTAACATGGGAAACAAAGTAACCAGTGTTTCTGAGCTTGCCTTTCAGAACAGCAGGAGGACCACTGATAAGAGAAGAGCTTGCTGACAACCCTCCCCCTAACTAAGCATCACACAGGAGCATTGGGAAGGTAAAATGACCGATTGTAAGCTTCATGCCTCATAGACTGGAGATCCACCCCATGCAGCACATAGAACCCCTCCAAACTGCACGTGACCCATGAAGAAATATGAAAGACAGTCACCCAGTGCAGAGGACTCTTAGAACTTCAGTCCCCAAGGTCACATGCTCCCCTCCCTGTCTTATTCTCACAATGTGCTTTGGAAAAACACTTCGAACTGCACCTGGGCAAGCTAATCTGCAAGTGCTGGAAAGAATAACTTGTTAGTAGAAAATTTATATCCTCTGCCTAAACTGTTCCTTCTGTCCCAGATAAGAAAGTAACTGAGGTTTTCTTAGATTCCTCTGGAATATTGCATTTAGCAGATCTGCTACAAACAGGTGCCCAATGTTCTGTGGTCATCCATCACCTGACATTTCTGAGCCCCCTCCCCAAGCCCTTCTCCCTTCAATAAGTCATTTCCATATCAGTTCCCTTTAAGATGGGTTTTTTAGGACGATAGTCCACCACCTTCTGATTTGCTAGCTTAACGCTTATTAAAGTTCTTTCTCTACCACTGCCTGCTTGGCCTTTTATCTTGCGGTGAGCAGATTGAATCCTTGCTTGGTATCAAAGGCAGCTATGCTAGACAAAGACTTTAAGACAACTATCTTAAAGATGCTCGAAGGACTAAAGAAGAATGTGGAGAAAGTCAAGAAAATGATGTACAAGCCAAATAAAAATATAACTAAAGATGTAGAAAACCTAATATGAAACTAGAAAAAATTCTGGAGCTGAAAACTACAATAACTGAAGTGAATAATTCAGTATATGAATTCAAAAGCAAATCTGAGCAGGCAGAAGAAAGAGTCAGTGTGCATGAAGATAGGACAATGGGAATTACTGAGACTGAGGAACAGAAAGAAAAAATATTTGTACATCTCTGTAGCCCAAGTATACCTCACATATTTGCTTGTCTTTAATAAAATCATATGCTTAAAAATTGGGGGGAAAAAATGAAATGGGCTGGCCTCTATGTGGCTTGAAAGTATCAATAAAATTGATAAGCCTCTAGCCAGGCTAAGACAAAAAAGAGAGAAGACTCAAATTACCAGAATCAGAAGTGTTAGATTGGACATCACATGAGATCCCATGGAACTTGAAAGAATAATGCAAAAATATTATGAACAACTCTGTGTCCCCAAACTTGACAACTTAGGTGGAAAAGACCAATTCCTTGAAAGACACAACCTTCCAAGACACTCAAAAAGAAACAGACAATCTGAATAGGTCTATATCTATTAAAGAAATTGAATTAATAGTTAATAATCTTCCAAAACAGAAGCACTAGGCCCAGAGAGGTTCCCTGGTGAATTCTACCAAACATTTAAGGAAGAAATTATACCAACTCTCTACAATCTCCTCCTGAAGACAGAAGCAGAGGGAATACATCCTAATTCATTTTATGAGGCCAGCATTACTCTAATACTAAAACCAGAAAAGAAAATTACAGAAAACTACAGACCAATATTTCTCATGAACATAGATGCAAAAATCCTGAACAAAATGTTAGCAAAGCAAATCCAATAATGTATAAAAGGAATTATATACCACAACCCAAGTATGATTTATCCCAGGTATGCAAGACTGGTTCAATATTCTAAAATCAATTAACACAATCCATCGTATTAACAGACTAAAGAAGAAAAATCACAAAATCATATCAATTGATGCAGAAAAAGCATTTGACAAAATTCAACACCTATTCGTGATAAAAACTCTCAGCAAACTAGGAATAGAGGGGAACTTCCTCAACTTGATAAAGATCTACAAAACTTATAGATAATATCATCCTTAATGGTGAGAAACCAGAAGCTTTCCCACTAAGATCAGGTACAAGGCAAGGATGTCCCCTCTCCCCATTGATTTTCAGCATTGTACTAGAAGTCCTAGATAATTCAATTAGACAAGAAAAGGGGACATATGTTAACTCTCTGCTCTTTGTACTCAACCTAAAACTACTCTAAAAGATAAACCTTATTAATCCAAAAACCTAAAGATATTGTTAATCATAAAGAAAATAAAATATTGTTCAAGAAAAGGGGAGATCGTCATAGTAGATGTTTTTACAAAGCAGGTTTAGACATGCACTTAAATTTAAAGAAGCACGAAAGTAGATTGAAAGTGTAAAGATGGAAGAAGACAGCATCTAAACAATAAGACTGAGAAAACTGTCGTGACTATTATTAATATCAAATTCAGTAGATTTCAAGGCAAAGAATATTATAAAATATAAAGAAGGAGATTTCCCGATTATAAATGGGCAATTCCTCATAAAGATACAGCAATCCTAAATATGATTAGACTAATAACAGAGCTTCCTTCCTCTTACTTTCACAGATGTTGATCCCTAAAAACAACCTTTCATCCCAAAATCCATCTCAGCATTGGCTTCTGGTAAACACAAGCTGAGACAGTAAGATTGATTCAACATACAAAAAATAACAAATGCAGCTCACCACAATAACCAAATAAAAGAGAAAAATCAGATGATTACCACAGTACATGCAGATAAATGTTTGGCAAAACTCATTACCTACTCACGATAAAATCACTCCATAAACTAAGAGCTTGGTGCTTCTGTTCCTAGTTTCAGCTGTGAAATGGGCAATTACAGCAAACACAGCCTTGAGAAGGGCATAACCACCACAGGATGAAGGTCTAGGTTGCCCCATCTGGTAAGCCGCCTGGACCAACAGAAGAGCTAGCTATGATTGACAGGAATTTAAAATATGCTATAGAGGAGAAGGATGATTAAAATCAATTATGGCCTTGGGATGAAATGCAGGAACAAGGGTTGTAGCTCATACAACTAATTCTTCCCATAATATTTCCCTAGAAATTATGACAATCACCATCTCGAAGAAGCTGTGTCAGGGTAGAGTAAATTTAATGTTAGACACAAATGATCAGAGCAATGCAAAAAGTGTGACGCTAATGGAAAGTGTTCATGTTATGCCCTGATCCCCCTCAGATCCCTTTAGCATCTGCCCTGCCCCCAGCTTTGATGTAATTTTGCTTCCAGTGGGCTACACCTGTCACTCTTCTTTAGCTTACTGTCATCAGGGCACCAAGCCACTTGTGCAAAAAGCTGGAAGTATCTGGATTTTACATATGGACTTTACAAGCCCATACCCTTGCTCCACATCTCCTTGGCAAGTGACAGATGGTGTGGCGGGATGAAAGCCCAGCTTACTTGCATTGGCTCAAGGTAAACTCTGAGGCGTAATTTACACTCCAGAGTTTCCTTTCAGCATCAGGCTGAATATACCTTCCAGAAAGCGTGCCCTTGCTTGGCTTCTTCCCCCTTCTTCTCTTGCTTCCCCCATTTCCTTTCTGGTTTCTCCAGACAGCACTTCTCTTGCACAAGAATCTCAGAGTCTGCTTCGAAGAAACTCAACCTAAAATATTTTGTTGTAAGCTTTCATAGCAACCTGGTATTTCCACTTCATGTTACTTAACTCATGGGCAATTACTCGTTCAAAACCTGTCTTTCCTACTAGTGTATAAACTACATTAGTGGAGGGACTGCGTTGTCCCCACTGCCCCATCCCTAGTTTGTGGCACTTAGATTCAAATACATGTTGGATTATAAATGAATGAATGAATGAACAAACCAAGAGGGTCAAGATTAGTGACATGTTTGTAATTTTTTTTTACGGAAACAATGCTTTATTACTTTTAAGTAGATTTAGTGAATTAACCTAAGATAGACAAGCAAGCCTTATTACTGAAAAGTAGGAATCCTCAGGAACATGCTTGTCAGTTTTCAACCTTCTGGGTATTTCTTCCCTATATTTTTTCACTCTGATTACTTCCCTTAAAAGCGAAGACAGAATCAAGCAGGAGCCAAGTAGGTACTGATCGTACTGGGTACCAAAGTTGTCCTAGTCATTCTTCCCCTAGGTTCTGTCCTCTAGCTATGATGAATTGAACAATGTTCGGAATATATGATCCTTTGAACATCAGTAAGACATAACACATGGTAGGAGCCCCAGATCACCGCTGCTGCTCATGTCTGCTAAGGGAGGCCTCAGCAAATGGTTCAGCTCGTTAGAGCAGTGAAGACAGGAGAGAAAACTTGCGCGTTAATCCACACGCAGGGCGCGCTTCATTGGAAGGAAAAGGAACTGACTGATTCTCTTGGTGCGAGCTCTCAGTCACTTAATGATACCAAATCGCTGCAAGTAGATCTTCTGAATAATTTTAAGGCAAAGAACACAGAAGAGAAAAAGATGAAAAAGAAATCAGAGTCCGTTCTCTGTTAGCCTGACTAGAATTTTAACTACCAAACTG